CAATCATCATTGGGGTATCTAGTTTAAAAAATGTGTGGCGTGACCCGGCCAACCAACCAAGATGGCCGCCACAGCTAAAAATAAAACATAGGGGTAAAATGCAGTTTTTGGCTTATAACTCAAAAACCAAAGCATTTAGAGCAAATCTGACATAAGTAAAATTGTTTATCAGGTCAAGATCTATCTGCCCTGAAATTTTCAGATGAATCGAACAACCTGTTGTTGGGTTGCTGCCCCTGAATTGGTAATTTTAAGGAAATTTTGCTGTTTTTGGTTATTATCTTGAATATTATTATAGATAGAGATAAACTGTAAACAGCAATAATGTTCAGCAAAGTAAGATTAACAAATAAGTCAACATGACTGAAATGGTCAGTTGACCCCTTTAGGAGTTATTGCCCTTTATAGTCAATTTTTAACAATTTTTCGTAAATCTTAGTAATCTTTTGCAAAAATCTTCTCCTCTGAAACAACTGGGCCAAATTAAACCAAACTTGGCCACAATCATCATTGGGGTATCTAGTTTTAAAAATGTGTGGCGTGACCTGGTCAACCAACCAAGATGGCCGCCACGGCTAAAAATAGAACATAGGGGTAAAATTCAGTTTTTGGCTTTTAACTCAAAAACCAAAGCATTTAAAGCAAATCTGACATGAAGTAAAATTGTTTATCAGGTCAAGATCTATCTGCCCTGAAACTTTCAGATGAATCGGACAACCCGTTATTGGGTTGCTGCCCCTGAATTGGTAATTTTAAGGAAATTTTGCTGTTTTTGGTTATTATCTTGAATATTATTATAGATAGAGATAAACTGTAAACAGCAATAATGTTCAGCAAAGTAAGATTTACAAATAAGTCAATATAACCGAAATGGTCAGTTGACCCCTTTAGGAGTAATTGCCCTTTATAGTCAATTTTTAACCATTTTTCGTAAATCTTAGTAATCTTTTACAAAAATCTTCTCCTCTGAAACAACTGGGCCAAATTAAACCAAACTTGGCCACAATCATCATTTGGTTATCTAGTTTTGAAAATGTGTGGCGTGACCTGGTCAACCAACCAAGATGGCCGCCACGGCTAAAAATAGAACATAGGGGTAAAATTCAGTTTTTGGCTTTTAACTCAAAAACCAAAGCATTTAAAGCAAATCTGACATGAAGTAAAATTGTTATTCATGTCAAGATCTATCTGCCCTGAAATTTTCAGATGAATCGGAATACCCGTTATTGGGTTGCTGCCCCTGAATTGGTAATTTTAAGGAAATTTTGCTGTTTTTGGTTATTATCTTGAATATTATTATAGATAGAGATAAACTGTAAAAAACAATAAATGTCGGCAAAGTAAGATCTACAAATAAGTCAACATGACCGAAATTGTCAGTTGACCCCTTTAGGAGTTATTGCCCTTGATAGTCAATTTTTAACCATTTTTTCGTAAATCTTAGTAATCTTTTACAAAAATCTTCTCCTCTGAAACTACTGGGCCAAGTTAATTATAGATAGAGATAATTGTAAGCAGGAAAAATGTTCAGTAAATTAAGATGTACAAACACATCACCATCACCAAAACACAATTTTGTCATGAATCCATCTGTGTCCTATGTTTAATATGCACATAGACCAAGGTGAGCGACACAGGCTCTTTAGAGCCTGTAGTTTTATGCAGTCAAAACATTTCAGTACAGACCATTTACTTTTAAAGCTAGTCTTTAAGATTTTTGTTTGTTTTAATTAAAGCCTGGCATCAACATATCTTTCCAAATATAACCTTTATAGCAGTCAGATGTCTAATATATTTTTTTTAAGTTGTCTTTTTTTTCAATTGAGGAACATTCAATGGTTGATTTTTTTTTAACACACTCCTAAATTTTCTTTTGAATCTTTAATATCTACATATTTCTGATGCAAATACATGTACTCTACTCATGAAAACATTCTAGTAAAAATGTATATATGTCAGTGAGTATGTTTCTTTACAACAATTCTAGTCGTTCCTTGTTTATAAGTGTTCCAGTATTTCATAATAAAAACAATGTACCATAAATTTATGTCATAAATTGTATAATGACACTATCACTACAAACCAGTAAAAGTCTGAAATGGCCTATATCTGTACTCGACTGTACTGATTTTTACTCGACCAGTCTGAATTGGTCTGAATATTACTCGACATTACTCGACCCCAGTCTTAACCATACTCGACTGTACTGATTTGTACTTGACCCTTATCTTTGCCATTGAAAATAGTCTGAACTATTACTCAACCAGTCTGAAACAGTCTTAACCCATTCTCGACCTGTACTCGACCTATTTTTTTCAGTCTAAACCATACTCGACCAGTCTGAACCATACTGGACCAAATAACCTCTACTTTTTCAAAATTTTAACTGTTAAAATAAATTTCTTTTTAACTGACATGACAACAGCCACAATAAATTAAAGATATATATTATAAAAACAGATTTTTACATTCTTACATGATTCTCAGATTTATATCAAATAGAGATAGTTAAATCAAATTATCTTATATAATAATTTAATTATATTAATTTTAAAGTTTTAGAGTTTTTTTAAAAAAAGATTTTCTTTTACCTAAAAACCACACCTATACTGAGGGTAATTATTAAGGTGCTTCTTGTTTGGCATGTGTTTTTTTTTTAAATTAATTTTCCTAAATTCCTAAATAAAAACTACATAGGTTTCATGGTTACATACAAATAATGTACAATAGTTATATAATTATCTTTTTAATGAGGTAACAACAGCCAACAAAATCACTGAAATTGTTTAACCTTATTTTAGAAATATATCTATTATTATAATTTGGGATATATTATATACAATATATATCAAAAAGGGATAAAAATTAAAGAAATTAATAAAATTGTTCTTCTGATTAGTGGTGAAGTATAAAGTAATACCTCCTGCTTGGGGCAAACTCATGAAAAAGATCACACCTGGTCAGAGAGTATTAAATTCTAAATAACATTCATTCAAAATTGCAACATCCTGTGAAACTTAAATCGCAAGGCCTTTTGAATTCACTAGATAAGTAATACACGAGTTTAAGAAAAATAGGGCTTTCTTTTTACCTGTAAAACACACATGTACTGAGGTAATTAAACCTTATTAAAGTGCTTCTTGTATGCCATGTCTTTAATTTTGGCAAAAAATATTTAAATTTAATTGAAATAAATTTTTATTGTAACTTTGGAACACATTTCCTTTTTTAAAAGTTATCACAGGATTACTATGGAAGTTCTATTACCATGATTATATTAAATTCTTGGTTTAACAAAACAAAGGTGTCATTTTTTAAATTTTTTAAGTTGCTTTATATGCTATTTTATATATATTTTAATAAAAAAAATGTTCACTGCATTATTAACTTAACTCCACTGACACCATAAATCTATATGCGGCTTAAGTTAATGGTGAAAATTGTCCAGTAACCATAAAATATATCTGAAACATTCAAAAAATTTTGAACAACATTGAAAATATTAGTCACAATTCAGTTTTGAGATTATTTGATCAGCTTGTTTTATTTTTATTTTAAAGGTGATATATATGTATGTATATAGGTGTTGATAAATATGGTGATGAAGTTATATTATGTTTATTGTGAAATTTTGGTTTCAATGCTATATTGAAAACATTTTTAATTTCAAATTGTTGTTCAAATTTCTAGCCAGGGGAAATAGCTGTTGTTAAAAACAGTTCCTAAATTGATCAAATACAATAGATAGATACAAAAAATAGGTCTAGGTTGGTTAAGACTTGGTCGAGTATGGTTAGACTAGGTCGAGTATGGTTCAGACTAGGTCGAGTATGGTTTAGACTAGGTCGAGCATGGTTCAGACTAGGTCGAGCATTGTTCAGACGCGTATAAAATAGTTAAGTACTGGTCGAGTAAGGGTCCAGTACAAGTTCAGACTGTTAAGTATGGTTCAGACTACAGTCGAGTATTATCAAGAAAATTTCAGACCAATTCAGACTGGTCGAGTAAAAATCAGTACAGTCGAGTACAGATATAGGCCATTTCAGACTTTTACTGGTTTGTAGTGTATGTTAAGTTTCAGTTTTGGTTAAAAAGGTGTTTACCTGAAAATGCCTGTTCATTTCATGTTGGTTTTCAGTGTTTGTTGTTTTAAAATGATTTTTCTTCACAAAAAACTTGGTTTGTGTTAAACTGCTTGTTTAAACTTTATTCTGGCTGATAAAATAAAATATTTTTCCTACCTACTGACCCTGCAGTCTGAAGGTACAGTTGGAAAACTGCAAACAATTTTATTATACTACCGCAAAAAAATTTTGTGGTCGTATATTGGTATGACGTTGGCGTCGGCGTCGTCGTCGTCGGCGTCCGGCGTCGTCGTCCGAAGACACATTGGTTTTCGCACTCTAACTTTAGTTTAAGTGAATGGATCTTTTTGAAATTTTACCATAAGGTTAAATACCACAAAAGGAAGGTTTGGGGGTTATGGTACCAACAGTTAAGGAATTAGGGGCCAAAAAGGGGCCAAAAATAAGCATTTTCTAGTTTCCAGACAATAACTGTGGAACGGTGTATGGATCTCTCTGAAATTATACTACAAGTTTCCATACCACAAAGGGATGGTTAGGATTTGCTTTGCGGGGTTATGGCTCAAACCGTTTAGGAATTAGGGGCAAAAAAGGGGGAAAAACAAGGTTGTCCTGGTTAATGGACAAATACTTTAGTACAAAACATAAGTTAAAGCAGTGTAAGGGAGATAAATCAAATACATCATTGAAATTATCTCCCTTACACTGCTTTTAAATTATGTATAAAGTAATGGTTAATGAACAATAAAGATAATTTAAAACAGTGTAAGGGAGGTAATCCAAATACAACGTTTTGGTTACTTCCCTTACACTGCTTTTAAATTATGTTTAAAGAAATGCATATTTATAAAGGAAGACCAGTAAAAATATCTGCAAATGTTGCATCTTTTTTTTATACAAAAAAAACCATATGAAGGTCCAAAGGGTCCAAAATTAAACTTTGTTTGATTTTAGCAAAAATTGAATTCTTGGGGTTCTTTGATATGCTGAATCTAAACATGTATTTAGATTTTTGATTTTTGGCCCAGTTTTCAAGTTGGTCCAAATTGGGGTCCAAAATGAAACTTTGTTTGATTTCAACTAAAATTGAATATATGGGGTTCTTTGATATGCAGAATCTAACCATGTATTTAGATTTTTTATTTGTGGACCCCGTTATCAAATTGGTTCATATTGAGGTGAAAAGGGTCCAAAATTAAACTTTGTTTGATTTCATCTGAAATTGAATTATTGGGGTTCTTTGATATTCCAAATCTAACCGTGTATTTAGATTTTTAATTTTGGGTCCCGTTTTTTAAATTGGTCTACATTAAGGTCCAAAGGGTCCAAAATTAAACTTAGTTTGATTTTAGCAAAAATTGAATTCTTGGGGTTCTTTGATATGCTGAATCTAAACATGTGTTTAGATTTTTGATTATGGGCCCAGTTTTCAAGTTGGTCCAAGATAGGGTCCAGTATTTAAACTTTGTTTGATTTCAACAAAAATTGAATATATGGGGTTCTTTGATATGCTGAATCTAAACATGTATTTAGATTTTATTTTATGGGCCCAGTTTTCAAGTTGGTCCAAATTGGGGTCCAAAATTAAACTTTGTTTGATTTCAACAAAAAATGAATATATGAGGTTCATTGATATGCTGAATCTAACCATGTATTTAGATTTTTTATTTGTAGGCCCCGCTATCAAATTGGTTCATATTGAGGTCAAAAGGGTCCAAAATTAAACTTTGTTTGATTTCATCAGAAATTGAATTATTGGGGTTCTTTACTATGCCAAATCTAACCGTGTTTTTAGATTTTTAATTTGGGTCCCGTTTTTTAAATTGGTCTTCATTGAGGTCCAAAGGGTCCAAAATTAAACTTAGTTTGATTTTAACAAAAATTGAATTCTTGGGGTTCTTTGATATGCTGAATCTAAACATGTGTTTAGATTTTTGATTATGGGCCCAGTTTTCAAGTTGGTCCAAGTTGGGGTCCAAAATTAAACTTTTTTTGATTTCAACAAAAATTGAATATATAGGGTTCTTTGATATGCTGAATCTAACCATGAATTTAGATTTTTTATTTGTGGGCCCCGCTATCAAATTGGTTCATATTGAGGTCAAAAGGGTCCAAAATTAAAGTTCGTTTGATTTCATCAAAAATTGAATTATTGGGGTTCTTTGATATTCCAAATCTAACCGTGTATTTAGAATTTTAATTTTAAGTCCCGTTTTTTAAATTGGTCTACATTAAGGTCCAAAGGGTCCAAAATTAAACTTAGTTTGATTTTAGCAAAAATTGAATTCTTAGGGTTCTTTGATATGCTGAATATAAACATGTGTTTAGATTTTTGATTATGGGCCCAGTTTTCAAGTTTGTCCAAGTTGGGGTCCAAAATTAAACTTTGTTTGATTTTAACAAAAATTGAATATATGGGGTTCTTTGATATGCTGAATCTAACCATGTATTTTGATTTTGGACATTGGACCATAATAGGTAAATTAAAAAAAATTCAAGTTCTTAGACCACATTCTTTCTGTGTCAGAAACCTATGCTGTGTCAAATATTTAATAACAATCCAAATTCAGAGCTGTATCAAGCTTGAATGTTGTGTCCATACTTGCCCCAACTGTTCAGGGTTCGACCTCTGCGGTCGTATCAAGCTGCGCCCCAGCGAAGCATTTTATTTTTAAAGTTGGCCTAGAAATGGCTATTTTACCAACACCAGCAATAAAGTGAATTTGTTATTTTGTAGGTTCTTTGTAAAGAGTGAAATTTAATATTTTATTTACTTTTGAAAGTACTATGAAAAATTATGTGCACTGTCAACATAAAATAAAATAATTACTGATTTACCAGTAGTTATTAAAATAAGAAAACAGCTAACAATATTTTGAGAACGTAACATTTATCAGTCAAAGTATAAATAACTATTAAGAATTTATATCAAGAAAAAAAAAAAAAAAAATAAAAATATTGAGCTTCCATTTGTTGCAATGAAATCATATCTAAACATGTAGTTGAAATTATTTCTAAAATCAGTCAGTGACAGTCTAATGCTTCATATATGCATATTGAGCTTCCATTTGTTGCAATGAAATCATATCTAAACATGTAGTTGAAATTATAACTAAAATCAGTCAGTGACAGTCTAATGCTTCATATATGCATAAGAATTAAATCTCAAATTTTTTAACTGTGTGTTATAAAAAAAAAAAAAAGTTAAAAATCTCATTGCATCATAAATTTGATAAAACATTATACAATATAACAAATAAAGTCAGCTTAAAAAATCAAAAATGTTTCAATTAAACTTGCTTTTGGAATAATAGTTATTTATTTGAGTTGCATATGTGTAAACAAAATAGTTTTTAACTTGGCTTCCGCTTACCTAATTCCAGCAAAATAACATATTTTCTATTTTTCCAGCATGGGCAACAAATTCACTGTATTGCTGTTGCCGGTAAAATAGCCATTGAATTAAGATATTTTAATCAGAGCCGGCAAAATAGCCACTGCCAATAAGAAAAAAAATTATATTTTTTTTTTAATTGGACTTTTAAATTTGAAATTTGGTTGATAGTTGATGTGTTTAAGTGTATGGATCTCTCTGAAATTGTACTACAAGGTTCCATACTACAAAGGAAAGGCTGGGATCGAATTGGGGTTATTGCTCCAAGGGGGGTTTCAAAAAGTTGGGGGGGGGGGGGGGATTTTTTTTTCTAATTTTTTTCTTCAGAATTTTTCAAATTTTGAATTTTTGAAAAGTTTCAAGAAGAAATCTTCAATTGCACAGTATTGCGCAATAGATTTGTAAGATCTTTGACCACATTTATTTTGTGTCAGAAATCTATATTATGTCAAAAATTTGATCACAATCCAAATTCAGACAGTAACAAGCTTGAAAATTGTGTCCAAATTTGTACGAACTGTTCAGGGTTCCACCTCTGCGGTTGTATCAGGCTGCGCTCAGCGAAGCATTTTATTCCATTTGTAAAGGGGCATAACTCTAGTTTGATATATATAAATGTGTAATGATTTAAATTCATAAGTAACAGATGTTGTTCAGTATTATTTTCTTTCGAGGACACAATTTAATAACAATTACTACGAAAGAATTGTCCTGTAGGTGAACCATATTTCATAACTGTTGCTGTAAAATGCTGTCCACTTAGGCATGTTAGGGACAATATTTCATGGCAATGGACATTATTTAATACCAAAATTCTATATTTTCTTTTTCCTTCTTCTCATGATAAATATAGTAAAGTTCTTCACATTTGATTTTATACTTTACTCACTTCCTTCTTTTTGTTCTTCTTTCATTGTCATTAGCATTAGCTGGGTATTTCTTAGAACTTAAATGTCTCTATATTCACTTCCATCTATTATTTGTTTGTTTACATTTGTATATTAATCAATTTCTAATCAATCGTTCAGATTTTATTAAAATTCAAGTATAATAAAAGTTCTTAATGACCTTTGTATTACTTCCCTTGGAGGACACAATTTAATAGCAACTACTATGAAGACTTGTCCTGTGGGTGGACACTATTTCATAAATTTTGCAGTAAAAATCTGTCCACTTGAGGGACAATATTTCAATTATTTCATGGCAATGGACATTGTTTAATACCAAAATTCTATGAAAAACTGTCCAGGTGGACACATTTTCACAGGACACTATTATGTCTTACATATGCTGATCAACAATGGCGACCCTGAAATTTCTGTTGCCGATTATGGCGCCAATTTAGAGGGAAACAACTCGTGCCAGCCAAAATTACTGTATTTCCCCAAAATAATCAAAATTTCGCTTTTTTATAACAAACAGTTATATGTTAATCACATTTATATTCAGCTATCGTCCATTGATATAATTGCAAACATTATTTTAATAAAGCTATCAATAAAGAATTCACAACAAAGTAATTATTGGAGTGCATTGAAATCAGACCTCATGGGGTAGAGGGGTTAAACAAAAGTCCGTAACTTTTTTAAAAACCTGGTGACCCCTATTTTATTATACCCCACGCAACTAGTTGCGGAGGGTATAATGTTTTTGACCCGTCCGTCCGTCCGTCCGTCTGTCAGTCCGTCAGTCCATCAGTCCATCAGTCCTGTTTCTTGTCATTGCAACTCCTCTCAAACCACACAACAGAATTTCACGAAACCTTTTTAGATAATAAGGACATACTATGTAGTTGTGCATATCGACAGGAAATTACGATTCAATTCTTTTTCTAGGAGTTACGACCCTTTGAAATTATTTACTTTAATGTACTACTGCAACAGTTTGTCATCGCAACTCCTCTCAAACCACACAACAGAATTTCATGAAACCTTTTCAGATAATAAGGACATACTACGTAGATGTGCATATCGACAGGAAATTACGATTCAATTTTTTTTCCAGGAGTTACGCCCCTTTGAACTTATTTGCCCAATATACTACTGCAACCTTTTGTCATCGCAACTCCTCTCAAACCACACAACAGAATTTCATGAAACTGTGTAGATAATAAGGACATACTATGTAGATGTGCATATTGATAGGAAATTATGATTCAATTTTTTATACGACCGCAAAAAAATTTTGTGGTCGTATATTGGTATGACGTTGGCGTCGTCGTCGTCGTCCGGCGTCGTCGTCCGAAGACACATTGGTTTTCCCACTCTAACTTTAGTTTAAGTGAATGGATCTTTTTGAAATTTTACCATAAGGTTAAATACCACAAAAGGAAGGTTGGGATTGATTTTGGGGGTTATGGTACCAACAGTTAAGGAATTAGGGGCCAAAAAGGGGCCAAAAATAAGCATTTTCTAGTTTCCAGACAATAACTGTGGAACGGTGTATGGATCTCTCTGAAATTATACTACAAGTTTCCATACCACAAAGGGATGGTTAGGATTTGCTTTGGGGGTTATGGCTCAAACCGTTTAGGAATTAGGGGCAAAAAAGGGGGAAAAACAAGGTTGTCCTGGTTAATGGACAAATACTTTAGTACAAAACATAATTTAAAGCAGTGTAAGGGAGATAAATCAAATACATCATTGAAATTATCTCCCTTACACTGCTTTTAAATTATGTATAAAGTAATGGTTAATGAACAAGAAAGATAATTTAAAACAGTGTAAGGGAGGTAATCCAAATACAACGTTTTGGTTACTTCCCTTACACTGCTTTTAAATTATGTTTAAAGAAATGCATATTTATAAAGGAAGACCAGTAAAAATATCTGCAAATGTTGCATCTTTTTTTTTTACAAACACTATATTTTTAATTCTATTATAAAATAGATTAAGTTAGCATTATGGTAAATTTAAATGGGTAATTATGGTTGCCAACTCCATTGGAAATTTGAATTGAGATTATGACCATATCTTGAGGGAAAGAATTTTTTTGGGGAAAAAAGGGGGGGGGGGGGATAAAAAGAAATTGTGGGGGTCAATTTTTTCTCATTTCAGATTTCAGAAATTAAAAAGAATTATTCTTCAAATATTATTTTTTTTTCAAATTTCAAATATTGAAAAATTTCAAGAAGTAATCTTTAATTGCACAGTATGGCGCATTAGATTTGTAAAATCTTTGATCACATTTATTTATTTGTTATGCCGAATCTAACAGTGTATTTAGATTTTTAATTTTGGGTCCAGTTTTTAAAATTGGTCTACATTAAGGTCCAAAGGGTCCAAAATTAAACTTAGTTTGATTTTAGCAAAAATTGAATATATGAGGTTCTTTGATATGCTGAATCTAAACATGTATTTAGATTTTTGATTTTTGGCCCAGTTTTCAAGTTGGTCCAAATTGGGGTCCAAAATTAAACTTTGTTTGATTTCAACAAAAATTGAATATATGGGGTTCTTTGATATGCTGAATCTAACCATGTATTTAGATTTTTTATTTGTGGATCCCGTTATCAAATTGGTTCATATTGAGGTCAAAAGGGTCCAAAATTAAACTTTGTTTGATTTCATCAAAAATTGAATTATTCGGGTTTTTGATATTCCAAATCTAACCGTGTATTTAGATTTTTAATTTTGGGTCCCGTTTTTTAAATTGGTCTACATTCAGGTCCAAAGGGTCCAAAATTAAACTTAATTTGATTTTAACAAAAATTGAATTCTTGGGGTTCTTTGATATGCTGAATCTAAACATGTGTTTAGATTTTTGATTATGGGCCCAGTTTTCAAGTTTGTCCAAGTTGGGGTCCAAAATTAAACTTTGTTTGATTTCAACAAAAATTGAATATATGGGGTTCTTTGATATGCTGAATCTAAACATGTATTTAGATTTTTGATTATGGGCCCAGTTTTCAAGTTGGTCCAAATTGGGGTCCAAAATTAAACTTTGTTTGATTTCAACAAAAATTGAATATATGAGGTTCTTTGATATGCTGAATCTAACCATGTATTTAGATTTTTTATTTGTGGACCCCGTTATCAAATTGGTTCATATTGAGGTCAAAAGGGTCCAAAATTAAACTTTGTTTGATTTCATCAAAAATTGAATTATTCGGGTTCTTTGATATTCCAAATCTAACCGTGTATTTAGATTTTTAATTTTGGGTCCCGTTTTTTAAATTGGTCTACATTCAGGTCCAAAGGGTCCAAAATTAAACTTAGTTTGATTTTAACAAAAATTGAATTCTTGGGGTTCTTTGATATGCTGAATCTAAACATGTGTTTAGATTTTTGATTATGGGCCCAGTTTTCAAGTTGGTCCAAGTTGGGGTCCAAAATTAAACTTTGTTTGATTTCAACAAAAATTGAATATATGGGGTTCTTTGATATGCTGAATCTAAACATGTATTTAGATTTTTGATTATGGGCCCAGTTTTCAAGTTGGTCCAAATTGGGGTCCAAAATTAAACTTTGTTTGATTTCAACAAAAATTGAATATATGAGGTTCTTTGATATGCTGAATCTAACCATGTATTTAGATTTTTTATTTGTTGGCCCCGCTATCAAATTGGTTCATATTGAGGTCAAAAGGGTCCAAAATTAAACTTTGTTTGATTTCATCAAAAATTGAATTATTGGGGTTCTTTGATATGCCAAATCTAACCGTGTTTTTAGATTTTTAATTTGGGTCCCGTTTTTTAAATTGGTCTTCATTGAGGTCCAAAGGGTCCAAAATTAAACTTAGTTTGATTTTAACAAAAATTGAATTCTTGGGGTTCTTTGATATGCTGAATCTAAACATGTGTTTAGATTTTTGATTATGGGCCCAGTTTTCAAGTTGGTCCAAGTTGGGGTCCAAAATTAAACTTTTTTTGATTTCAACAAAAATTGAATGTATGGGGTTTTTTGATATGCTGAATCTAACCATGAATTTAGATTTTTTATTTGTGGGCCCTGCTATCAAATTGGGTCATATTGAGATCAAAAGGGTCCAAAATTAAACTTTGTTTGATTTCATCAAAAATTGAATTATTGGGGTTCTTTGATATTCCAAATCTAACCGTGTATTTAGATTTTTAATTTTTGGTTCCGTTTTTTAAATTTGTCTACATTAAGGTCCAAAGGGTCCAAAATTAAACTTAGTTTGATTTTAGCAAAAAATGAATTCTTGGGGTTCTTTGATATGCTGAATGTAAACATGTGTTTAGATTTTTGATTATGGGCCCAGTTTTCAAGTTTGTCCAAGTTGGGGTCCAAAATTAAACTTTGTTTGATTTTAACAAAAATTGAATATATGGGGTTCTTTGATATGCTGAATCTAACCATGTATTTTGATTTTGGACATTGGACCATAATAGGTAAATTAAAAAAATTCAAGTTCTTAGACCACATTCTTTCTGTGTCAGAAACCTATGCTGTGTCAAATATTTAATAACAATCCAAATTCAGAGCTGTATCAAGCTTGAATGTTGTGTCCATACTTGCCCCAACTGTTCAGGGTTCGACCTCTTATGTCGTATCAAGCTGCGCCCCCAGCGAAGCATTTTATTTTTCTTACACTTATTTTATTTCTCCAATGACAATGTGGGGACGTGGGGTATGTGAGCGCGCTCACTAAGGTTCTTTAATTTTACCTTAAAATGCTCGAAAGGTTCATAGCTTTGACATAACCGTTTTAAAAAAAAATCTACCGGGAAATTTTACGAAAAATTGATTTAACCAATATTTTTAGGCTTAAACTGAAATTAGAAAATGCAAAATTTAGACATAAATCTATAAATAAATAAATAAAAGGACTTTTAGGTCTAAAACAACCAAGAGAAACATTTACATTTCATATTTTTATGTTTTTTCACATAATAATCATATTGACATGGTCCTAAAAGTCTTTGAATTTGATGTAGCCGTTATTGTTGAAAGGGTTGAAATGTTTGGAATTGGGGTCAAAATCGCACATTTCGCTTCCATTTGAGGGGAAAACGAGCCTGGTGACCCCCTTTTTTCTTTGCATTTTTGGATTCAGCATAAAAAGATCTACAAAATATGTGAAAATAAAAAAATTATACCGGGGGTCCTTATTGGGGTGAGCCACCTTAAGAACGTAAATAATGGTCAACACTTGTTCATGTGTTTGTCCAAAAAAAATAGAAAAAACTTAATAAACAGAAAAAAAACCAACTTGAAGATACATGATGATGATTGTAACAAAAATCCTGTATACATGTAGATATAAAAAGAAGATGTGGTATGATTGCCAATGAGACAACTCTCCACAAGAGACCAAATGACACAGAAATTAACAACTATAGGTCACCGTACAATAGAGTTTGCAAAGGAAAATTTTAGGGATGTGAAGGAGTACTCCAGCATAGCTTAGTTGTACTGTGTATCGAATACCAAAATGGTAGTTGACTAATCAATTTCTTATTTGGATGTTGCCCCCTTCTTTTCATAAGATTGATTTTATTTAGAACACTGCTCGTAGAATTGAATAGATATCACTGATTAATCATAGTTAAAATACACTTCGTTTGTTTGTGGTAAATTGTTGTTTAGAATGCCGCTGAATACTTCCATTTGGAAATTCTCTAGACAAAGTAAGATAAAGGTAAAACTGTTAAATGTCAACTATGTGAAGTTGAACTGACCATGCTGGCGTGTTGTGGGGTAAGTACAAACATATGTTGCATCATATGAGAGCTAAACATTCTTCCAAAGAACAACATAACTTTAAAAGACAAATTTTATCTGGTGTTAATATCAATTTTGTAAATTATTCTTCGTAGAAGGTAAATAATGCACTTCATATATAAAAACAACCATGGCCATAACATGATTGTAAAGGATCTATACCAGATTACCATCCACTAAGTATCGTACAAGTAAAAGGTTTTCTGAAATCTGAAGAAAATCTTGATCCAAGAATATGAAGTACCATCAGTCAAACCTATATTAAAGATCTCTGGTAGATGAATTGTACTGAGAACAAAAGGAAATCTGATTGATGAATTAAAAAGGGATCAAATAGTTTCTTTACTACAGATACTTAGACTTCTACATGAAATGACCTTTATTTAACAGTTACAGAGCACCATATATATTTGTCAATTTGGAGATGAATTCCAACTTTTTCTGTACCTGTGAATTTCCAGAAAGACATACTTGAGTGAATATTATATTGCTGAACAATTACAATTTGTTACAAGTGATTTGACATTTTGACTAAAACAGAAAAGTTGTACAAGATAATTCTTGCAGCAGATGTCCTGAATAGGATGACTTTGGTTGTATTGGACATACATTATGCATCAAACTGAAATTGAACTACCGGTAGTTTTTTTTGTCAAATATTTTGCTAGAGGTCATTAGCTTGTTGATCCCTTCAAACGTTCTACAATGCTAAGTGCAGAGACATGAAAACAACTGAAACTTTTAAATACTCAAGAGTCCAAATTAATACAGGATATGGCAACAAGATGAAAAAAAATAAGGTAGAATGCTGTACATGTTTGTAGTAGTCAGAGATGAGTTCTGAATGATATCATATTAGATCCCTAACCCTCCTGTACAAAGAAACATGATAATGTTACCCAAAGATCATAAATGTGATGAAAAGTTTGAATTCCAGCGACTGAGTAATGTCAACAATTAAGTTTTTTGTGGACTAAAAAGTTCAATTGCTTAAACATTGATTTAAACCAACCCATAAAGATATTGGAATGGAAAACACCAATATTTGCATCTATTTTGGGTCCCCTTTTTAAACCCTTTACCTATCTGGACAAAAACCAAGGCAAAATAGCTGAGGATACATTGGAATCATAGCTTAATGACATTCTATTACACAATTCACAAACTAATAAAAGCTGTTGGTGTAGTACTGGTCCACTAAGCAGCCAACAATGTGGTAGTGGTTCATACCTTAAATACTACATGGAAGTTCCTTAGAATGAATTAAACATTCATCTACAGTCATGCAATTCTCAGACTGTTTATGACATCTTTACACTAAATCTGTTTGATGTGTACTGATTTGATTTTAGTCTTGGAGAACACGATTTATTTGTTAGGTGTAATTGGCTTTTAATTGCTTTCAGTAACTGAGAGTATTCTTATATCAGGTCTTAGTGTCTATTATTTTTATTATACGACCGCAAAAATTAAAAATTTTTTGGTCGTATATTGGTATGACGTCGGCGTCGTCGTCGTCGTCGTCGTCGTCGTCCGGCGTCGTCCGAAGACACATTGGTTTTCGCACTCTAACTTTAGTTTAAGTGAATGGATGTCCATAAAATTTTACCATAAGGTTCAATACCACGAAAGAAAGGTTGGGATTGATTTTGGGGGTTATGGTACCAACAGTTAAGGGATTAGGGGCCAAAAAGGGGCCAAAAATAAGCATTTTTGTAACTTCCAGACAATAACTTGTGTGTAAGTGTATGGATCTCTCTGACATTGTACCACAAGGTTCCATATCACAAAGGGAAGGCTGTAATTGATTTTGGGGGTAATTGCCTCAAAATTTTAGGAATTAGGGGCAAAAAAAGGGGCAAAAAACAAGCATTTTTCTAGTTTCATGACAATAACTTGTGTGTAAGTGTTTGGATATTTCTGAAATTGTACTACAAGGTTCCATATCACAAAGAGAAAGCTGGAATTGAGTTTGGGGGTAATTGCCCGAAACGTTTAGGAATTGGGGGCCAAAAAGGGGCCAAAAATAAGCATTTTTCTAGTTTCCAGACAATAACTTGTGTTCAAGTGTATGGATCTCTCTGAAATTGTACTGCAAGGTACCATACCACAAAGGGAAGGCTGGGATTGAGTTTGGGGGTGATGAATCATAAGGGGGTTCAAAAAATTTGGGGGGGGGGAATTTTTTTTTTTTTTTTTTTAATTTTTTTAATTTTTTTTTCTTTTAAAAGGAGTAGGCCCAGTAAGACCCCTTTTTGGCCCCAAAATATAGCAGTTTTACAAAATTGTTAAAATATAAATTTTTAGCTATTTATTGGAAAGAAGAATACTACTGTTACATAAATATGGGCTGTTTTTGACAATACAATGCACATGTATCGGGTACTAGCATCATTCAGTCATGCTAAATTATTGAAATCTTCGAAATTTTAGCATTTTGGTTAATTTTTAGACGGTTTCCGTCTGAAATGGAAGTGGCCGCATTTGTGTTCATTCTTTATATTTAAATGTAAGTTGTATTTGATGATGATACATAACATATATAAAGGTTGAGAATGAACACGGATGCGGCCACTTTTATTTTTGACAAAAACCATCTGAAAAGTGATATATTATGGCATATTTGATAGATTTTTCATATTTAAGCTTGAATTTGAGCTTCTTTAATGACTGAATCAGTTCAAATCTTTCACATAAACTGATTGAATCGACTGAAGTAGACACTTAAGTGTTTAAAAAGTGTCCAAAATCTTTCATCAGATGAACTTGAATTTTGAGGCCAAAATCGGCCCTTACCGGACCTACTCCTTTTCCATTTTAAGTTGGTTATTTCTGATTTATATTTAAAAGCAAATAATAATGATTTGGTAGGAGATACACACCAAACAGGATGTGTAAATTATTATATAATAAGTATTGTGCAATAGCAAGTAATTTTCAATTGCACAGTATTGCACAATAGCAAGAAATCTTCAATTGCACAGTATTGCGCAATAGCAAGAAATCTTCAATTGCACAGTATTGCGCAATAGCAAGAAATATCCAATAGCACAATATTGCGCAAATAGCAAGAAATTGTCAATTGTACAGTATTGCGCAATAGCAAGAAATATTCAATTGCACAGTATTGTGCAAAAGAAGATACTTCGTATAAATTGCTTATTTCTTGATCAATTTCAATGGGGTTTTATTCTTGAATTCTTGGGGTTCTTTAATATGCTGAATCTAACCGTGTATTAAGTTTTTGGATTTTGGGCCCCGTTTTTAAATTGGTCCACATTGAGGTCCAAAGGGTCCAAAATTTAACTTTGTTTGATTTCATCAAAAATTGAATTATTGGGGTTCTTTGATATGCCGAATCTAACCGTGTATTTAGATTCTTAATTTTTGGTTCCGTTTTCAAATTGGTCTACATTAAGGTCCAAAGGGTCCAAAATTAAACTTAGTTTGATTTTAACAAAAATTGAATTTTTAGGGTTCTTTGATATGCTGAATCTAAACATGTATTTAGATTTTGATTATGGGCCCAGTTTTCAAGTTGGTCCAAATCGGGGTCCAAAATTAAACTTTGTTTGATTTCAACAAAAATTGAATATATGGGGTTCTTTGATATGCTGAATCTAACCATGTATTTAGATTTTTGATTTTTGGGCCCTGTTATCAACTTTGTCCACATTGAGGTCAAAAGGGTCCAAAATTAAACTTTGTTTGATTTCATCAAAAATTGAATTCTTGGGGTTCTTTAATATGCTGAATCTAACCATGTATTTAGATTTTGGATATTCGACCATAATAGGTGAATGTCCAATTTAAAATTTTTAAGTTCTTAGACCACATTCATTCTGTGTCAGAAACCTATGCTGTGTCAAATATTTAATCACAATCCAAATTCAGAGCTGTATCAAGCTTGAATGTTGTGTCCATACTTGCTCCAACTGTTCAGGGTTCGACCTCTGTGGTCGTATCAAGCTGCGCCCTGCGGAGCATTTTATGTTAGTTGTTTTTGTGCATCATACTGATGAGTTAAGGCAATTGCAACTGATTTTTACAGTTTGTTCTTTTGTAGTGCTGTTACACCACTGTCCATTATATGGCAAGGTTGAGCGCTCCCAGACATGTTTAGCCTGACCACATTCTTTATTGTGCCTGTAAAAAGTCAGGAGCCTATAGTTCAGTTGTTGTCGTTGGTTTATGTTTGTCTTTTGTTCTTCATAAATTGTTTTGTTATAATTAAATCAGGCCGTTAGTTTTCTTGTTTAAATTGTTTCACATGTTTTTATGTGGGGGCCTTATTTCAGAATAAAAATTTTCAGGTATTAATTTTGCTAAGTTCACTAAGCAATGAATGCTATTTAAAAAGGGGGCCACTTGCACACATGTGTATTTTGTAGTAAATAAAGCAAATTTTGGACTTGTTGAACAATTTTTATTCTGATTCATTGAGTTTAACATGTTTAAATGTTTAAATTTTAAGATATCAATTGTTGCTATTAAACCCTTCTGAAAACATTCCTAAATGATGAAGTTAATCCTCTGAATTTGAGCAATATGGTCTTTTGTCAGGTGTAAGTCCATTACATACAGATGAAAACTATAGAAGCCACAAAAACGTTTTTTTTGTTCTTTTTGCCCATGGTGTTGTCTGTTTTTGTTAGCCTAAGGATCCACTATTAGTAAGTCAACGATATTTTGTATGTAGTTGTATTAGCACTTCTCATTTCCATGGAGGTTCATTGACTTTGGAAGTTTTGCATAGTTTTTAAATGATTGTACTTCAAACTCGGCATGCGATAGCAGTAGTTAATGTCATGTCCTACAGGAAGAATTATATAAAGTCAATAAAAAAAAAATAATAATTATCAATTTTCTTATTTATTACTGCACATATATGGATAAAACTTTGCACATATGTATTTTATGTTATAATGAACATATTTAGGTTAGAAGTCATAAATCACAAATTTCCCCTTTAAAGTTAGTGATTAGAGTCAATGATATTATACCCCACTCTAAAAGTTAGGCGATATTGCAATCACTTTGTCCACCCCTCTGTATGTCCACCTGTCATTTTCTTCACACTGTTCTCAGAAACTACTGAATAGAAAGATTTCATATTTGGTAAGCAGCTTAAAAGTGATGAGTTTTTAAAGTGTGATCATTTTTATACGCCCGTTTACAGGACGTATTATAATGGTATACCGTTGTCCGTCCGTCCGTCGTCAACATGTCGGACAATAACTCAAAAATGCTTTAACCAATCTGCATGAAACTTGTGTGAATTGTTTATATCTATTGACGTGAGCTCCCTTTCGTTTTTCATAAATTATAGATTTTAAGTTTCTGAGTTGTGGGGTTTTATTCATAAAAAAGGGGGATTTTCCAGTTTTCGGACAACAACTCAAAAATGCTTTCAGCAGTTTTCATGAAAGTCTGGTGAATAGTTTATATCTATTGACATAAGCTCCCTTTCAATTTTTATAAATTTTAGATTTTACGTTTCCGAGTTATGGGATTTTATTCATAAAAAGGGGGTGATTTTCCAATTTTCCGACAATATTATATCTTTAAAGTGCTTTGAGCAGTTTTCATGAAACTTTGTTGACTGGTTTATATCTATTAAGCTAACTTCCCTTTAGTTTTTCATAAATTTCTGATATGACATTGAGAAGTAATTGAACTTTATTCTTTAAAAAGGCGACAGGCGTATCATGGGCTCATGGCGCAGCTGTCTATTTAATGATGAATTTTACCTTTTTTTTTCTTTCTTTTTGCCTATTATCTTGAAAACTATTTTAGATATAGAGAAAATTTAAATGGCAAACATGATATGCAAGACAAGATCTACAAATAAGTCAGATGATCGAAACTATCAAACCACTCACGATTGGAGTTATTGCCCTTTGATGACGATTTCTTTATCATTTTTAGCACTTTTGCATAATATCTTAAATACTGCAAGAAATAGAGAGAAAATTAAAATAACTAAAATGAGCAGCAAAACAAAATCTACAAATTAATCAACATGGCTGAAGTCATCAGGCAACTCCTTTTGGTGTTCTTGCTATTTTATGACAATTTTTAACACTATATTGCGTTTTTAGTCCCCTACCGACAAAGTCGAAGGGGACTTAAGGTTTGCACTCCGTCCGTCTGTCTGTCTGTCTGTCCGTCTGTCCATCCGTCAGTCCGGCAAATCAGCTTTCCACACTTTTTTTCTTCGTTCCTTAAGATATTGATTTGATATTGGGTATATAGTTTTATCATGACAAGTTATAATTCAAGTTCGAATTTTGTTCCGGTCTGATGATTTAGTCCAGAGTTATGGACCATAAATCTGGACCATATCTAATGTTAGAATACTATGTTAAACCATATTTCTGTACAAAGGGAGAAAACTCATTTTTTAAAAGGCATTCTTTGTTAAATTATTTGAAGATTTTTTTGGCAGGTTTGTTTGTTATTTAGTATAAACTAATTTTCTGAATGCTAATTTATATATAAAAAAAAATTATGAAGAGAAATCCTTTAATTAGATAATAATTTATTTTTATTAATGTATATATTTCAATACATTACATTGTGTAGATTAAAGTTGTTGACATTTTATAGATAAGTTACAAATCTATATTAGTTTGTGACAAATGAAGGAAAAAATATTTGGAACTATTAATCATATCTAATGTTTTTTTCATCATGCTTATACGATATTGATTGATAATTGGTAAATAGTTTTATCATGACAAGTTACAGATCAAGTTCAAAGTTTTGTTTTGGTCTAATAATTTTGTGCAGAGTTATGGTCCTTGGACTTGAAAAATTCACTCATACAATCAGTTTTCCACAATGTTTTTAGTCATGCTTGACATTCTATTTACTTTTTTGTTTACACCATGACAAGTTATATAACAAGTTAGCATTTTGTTCCAGTATAATGAATTTTTACCCGGTAGGGGACTATGTATTGCCATGCAATACTCTCAGAATGCTTGTTGCCTTATATCTTGAAACTATAAAGGATAGATAGACACTTTTTAAGTAGCAAAAAAAATGATCAGCAAGACCAGATCTACTATTAAGGCAAATTTTGCATAAAATCTGTAGTATTAACTCTTTATAGGAGTGATTGCCATTAAATGACAAATTTTTTTACCCTTTTATTGTGTTTTGGGTAAAAACTAAAGAAGACAGAGAGAAATTGTAAACAGAAAAAAATTATCAGCAATACGAGA